TACGATGCTTGTAGTTTTTTAAATGCTTTAAGAACTTCTGAACGACTACACAACATAATTGTCTCTGTATATCGCGTATAGTCGTCTATGAATGTCACAAAATATCTGACACTACCGATTCAGTTTGTATTGGGCCACATATAAGCGAATGCAAATCGAGTTTTTCCTTACAATGATGTGTAGATTGTTTGAACGGTAATTTGTGGATTTTTGCTTTGTTACATACTTCACAGTTTACATGAACCGATTTTGAGCTGTCGTTCATACTAATAATTATTTCATCTCGTTTTAATTTTTTTAGATCATTTATACTTAAATGTCCAAAACTGATGTCGTCTTATTAAATTGTCATCTTCTTTTTCCTTCATTTGCATGGCGCTCATTTCCTTGTCTCGACGACATATAATTGTTCTTGTCTTGAGGCCGTTAGGGCCATCGATCCGTTTCACTATTGCGCGAACTTGATTAAACACTATGCCGTATCCATAGTCGGTGATGTTAGATACAAACAATAAATTGCTTCCAAGTTCTGTACGTAAATCGTATCTTTCAACTTAACGCGGTTTTTCATATTCTTGCATATTTTGACCTAATTCTATCTCACCGATGCCTTTCGATCTTATACAGTGTTTTGCGGAAGTGTAAACATCTATTTGTATTTCTTCATTTAAGGCACTGAATTTTTCCTTCTCATTAAGCATATGTTTTGTGTCACCGTTATCAAGACAGGGTATTGTGAAGCTTCGATATTATATGTCACTACTATCATCGCGTCGTTCCTAGAATAATTGTTTTTAGATTTCAATCTAGTCTTGAATTTTGTGTCCGATTTTTTTACAGTTAAAACACTTTCCACTGAATTTCCTATTTATTCTTGTTAACATTATTGTTTAAAAGTTAAATAATTAATACTAATAACAATTCAGCAATCCATTACAAACATCTGGATCTTAATCGGATCACTTTCAATACAAATACAGACAAATTAAATGATATTACAAACTATAAGATATGAATCCGGCAATGATTGTGTGTCATTTTGTTTATTTGATCTCTGAAATTGCTTTTTTCACTTGGGTCTTTGAAATCTTTCTGATTGCAGAACTTTTTATATACAATACGCGTATGTATCGTTATATGTATCGCAATGATTATCGTTATTAAGCAATAATTTGATATTATAGTAGTGAACATAGACCGTGCAAACGTTCAAAGAAATAAAGTATTTATTTTTATCGAAGGGATCAGTTGACAACAACAATGTTTCCATACAGATGTAAGTTGTATTACTAATAAACGCGATGCTGCGAACACTTTGCACAAAATTTAATGGTAAAAATTTAATGATAAAAATTCTATTATGGAATGTGAACTAGTAGTCCATGTTTAAATTATATTGTATATGCTGCATTAAATATTAGATAAATAAATATTAAAAAATATTTTCTTTGAAAATTTATCTTTTCTCTAATCTCTTCATCATTCCTTCTTCATATATTTTCGTGATATTAAATTACTTAATAAGAAAGCGCGTTCGGCTAAGAGAGAAAGAGAGAGAGAGAGAAAGAGAGAGAGAGAGAGAGATCGACTTGTACTATTAAAATATTATTAAAATTGTGCTTATATTATTCTATTGTAAAGTCACATCGTAAAATAAAAGCCCGTAAAATAAATATCATATTTTTTTAATAAAATCGCGTGCGAGAGAATACATGTCAACAATTTGTGACTATTATACGCCAAAATTGTATTAACAATAAATGATACACTAAAAGATTGCGTGAAGTTTATGATGAAACTTCAATCATGGAGCGTGAATTAATAATGTGCGCTTCAGATGAAATTGTATACACTGCGTTATATTTAAAGTAAGAAATAAATTAATGTAATAAATTTATTTTAAAAAATGTGTATGATACTTAAATATATTACTGAATTTTTTTAATTACTTTTAGTCTCCTTTTTCCCTGCCTCTATTCAGCGGAAGAATAGAATTATATGATAAGAAGGCGCGCAATTTTTTCCTCGAATAAGTTAATCAAGTTATCTTAAGTTAAAATAAAAATTGAACAATAAGAAATTATAATTCTAATCTCTATTTCTTTCTGGGTTTCCTCCACAATTCTAAAATATTTTTTTCGCTCCCTTCTATGACATTATCTACTTGTCATGTAATTTTGAAACCTGCACATTCCTGTTTCTTTTTACCGTGAATGGAAAAGAATCTTCTTTCTCTATAGTTATTTAGAATTAATTAATAATATGATAGCTGTTTAGTAGTACGACGTAGTACAATAAGTGTTCAATACCTACTCAATAATAGTTTATAATGATTTGATAATTAAGAACGCTCAGCTATTTATATTACATTAATAAAAATATTATTATAATTAGTTGCTAAATTAAAATCATTGTTAATTCGATTGTCATATCATTAAACAATTGTAAAACAAATACCATATTTATTTAATAAAATTGTGAGCAAGAAGAAAAGAGAACGGGAGAGAATATAACGGGAAGAAGAGAGAGCGTGAATATTATAAGTATAGAATACTAGATAGGAGAGAGAGCACGAGTACTATGACGAGTATAGGACTACGGCGAGTGGGATATATAATATATCATTATGCGCACTATTTGGCAACGTCGCAATGTATAAAATTACTTTCATGATGTCATCGCGAAATATATCGTATTAACATGTCGAATGTCTTTAAAAAGATCTTTTATTACACTAACAAAGCTGCCGTATATCGGCGCTTGTATTTTTGATCTCTTGCTTGTGTTCGTTGAATTATTCCATATGCATTCCTGAAGAAATGTGATAGAGGAAACGAATTTAATAGATTAAATTAATAAAAACATTTTTTTCTCGGACAATATTACTGCATCAATCGTCTACGAGTACCCTCCGCGCCCCGCGCCCCTCTCGCTTACCGTTGGTAGAATTAGAATTCGTTATACTATACTACTGCGATAATGTACCTTCCATCCATAAAATTATTAATAATAATATAATACTCAGAAACAGACAGTTAAATTACATTAAAACATAAATTTATTAAAATTTATTAAAAATTGCTTATATTAGAGCATAATTATAATAATAACATTCATTAATATTAATAATTATGATACTTATTATATATTTTCATCATTTTATTATAGAGATATATTATAGATATATTTTTTTATTTAATATTGTGTGATACTAATAATATAGTTGAATTATAATAGATTAAATTAATAAAAACATTTTTCTTTTACAAATTAGTCAACGTATATTGCTGAAACGAATTTAAAAATAAAAATATTTTAGTTATAATTTTCTTCTAATTTTTAATTTTTATTGCGTTGGATCGTACCAAAAGTTCGTAACACTACTTCATTTGTATTATATCTATATATTTGAAAAAAAATTTGGCAATTATACTGTTTAAGAGAGAAAAATATGGAAGGCATAGGCGAAACGTCATCACGCGTGTTATATTTATGTAATCCATCAACCGGAGTTCTATGTTTATTTAACACTGATAGCGCCAGGACTACCTCGCGTCTTCTCTCTCCTTCCCCTCAACTACGAATATCCCCCGCGCCCTGTGCCCCTCTCGCTTACTGTTGGGCTAGAACCTGTTATACTATACTATTTATCATTTATATACTCAAGAACGTTTGCTACGTTTTTTTGAATTTCACAAAAACTTAAGTATCTTGGTAAAAAAAAAAAAATCATAGAAAAGTTTTTAAAAATACATTTTAAAGAGAAAGAATATACTTCAAATTTTAGAAAAAAATAAAATTTTAAACAATAAAATTATATACAATAAAAAAATCAATTTGTGAAAAATTATTGCAGCAATTTTTTTTCTGAAAGCATTTCAAAGCTTAAACAATCTACTTGAAATATTTGTTTATTAAATTTTGTGTGATAATGTTTCATTCACATTGAGCGCTTCAAAGATCGACAAAAACATTTTTAAAAAATATTTAAAAAAAGTTTCAATTTTTGTAATTTCGAAAATATCATAGAGTCAAAATCCAAACTCCAGTTTAAAGCTCTATTTTTCCTCTTTGATATGCATCTTTACATCTAAATTTCCCTACGATTTTTTTTCACCGAGATACTCGAATTTCTGTGAAATGTGAGAAAATCGCAGGCATTTCCGAATTTATAAACGATAGTGTATATTCCAAGTAGCAGATGAAATTTCAATAGAGGTTGTGATCAAACCTATTTTGCTATCTTAATTCCTTGTAAATCAATCTATTTTAACACTAAAAACAGTGAAAAGGGAAATTTGCGACACTATTATAGTCAAAGTAGGAGTGAACCTGTCATTTTAATTGAATCTATCTTGATATTTTAACTCCTACTATATAATAGGATTAAAGATTTAACCAAAGGTCACAATTTTGACTCGGACAAATATAGGATGCAAAATGCGGAATTTGCTGAATGTCATATCCGTATTCTATACACGGATTTCATATTCTACATGCGAATTCTACACGCTACATTTGCATTTGAATTTTTCTTCATTTGTTGAAAATAGTGCCACGAAATAGTGTCTGTTGACGTAGCTCCGTGTTATGAATTATGGCACAGTGTGGCACTATTATCCCCTTTGACATTTAAGGGAAAATTAAAATATCAGAAATTTTACCGATATATGTTTTAAATCTTCGAAATTTCAAACTGTATCCTTTTTTGAGGACAGGTAGATACTGTCAATTTTTGCGTTTTAATTTTTAGGAAGCATTTAATGCGATTTTTATTAATATTCATTCAAAGTTGAGTGTTTCCTAAAAAAGCAGGTTGGACAAAAAAGAAATATACGTTGAACTAGTTTTGAACTAATTTTTTTATTCAATTCAAAACTAGTTCAATGTATATTTCCTCTTTGTCCAAAATGCTCTTCTTGGTCGCTAGGAAACACTTAATTTTCAATGAATATTAATCAAAATTGTATTAAATGCATCATATATTGAGGGTCACTCACCAAGATCTTTGTCAGGACCGGTTAACACCCAGAAATCAGATGAGGCAAGGATACCATTTTGAAAGAATATAACTCCTCTTTTCTGTCGACCTTTACATAAAGGACTTGCTGATATTCTGTGAATCGTCAAAATATAACCATCTTCTGTTGTGACGTAATGCTCCTCAGCAGAGTAACCATATCTCTCTACTAAATCAATCTTTGTAATAGACATATAAAGTGTTAAAGAAAAATTCGTTTTTTAATAATTTTATTATATTATAATATTTTATACGTAATATATTTTTTTACATAACTCTGGTGGAAAAATTTTGCTGAAATTATTCCACATTTGAAACACTTTTCGATAAAATTTCAGCATTTCAGAAAAATTTCAGTCTAATTTCAGCGATTTTTAGCTGAAAATTCATTTTTAGGAAAATTTTAGAAAAATTTCAGCAAAAATTTTAGAGAAATTTCAATAAATTTCAGAGAAATTTCAAAGTAATTTCAATTCAGTTTCTACGATTTTTCAGTATATTAGCTGAAAAATTCAGTTGAAATGTTCCAAAATGTGGAATAATATCAGCAAAATTTTTCCATCAGGCAAAATAATAAATTATTGCTTTATTTATAAAAGAAAATTCTATTCAAAATTTCATATAATTGATCTACACTGTCAAAACAAAGGTTGTTTTCATTTACATAAAAATTAATTTTTCGATATATCGTACATTAATATAACTTTCTTATTTAATTCAAAATATTTTTTCAAGTGTGCCTTTATAGTAAAATAAGATATAGAAAGAGGATCAACCACTTACAAAATCCATTGTAGTTACATTATTCACTGCAGTTTTGACTTCTTCTGATTTTCTTACTCTTACTATACCGGGATCCTTAGGAAATAGATAATTGATTATTGCTTTTTGAAGGAACATTAAATCTTTCCAGAAATTTAGTCTTGCTTGCATTAACACTACAGTAAGCATAAGTATGAAGATAACAAATTTCATTTTCATTCTCATTAAATTGTCGATACTGGAGATTCAAAGGTATTAGATCTTGTAAATGTAGACAATATTGATATAAGTTTTATAACAACTACCTTCATTTGCAGGAAACCTATAAACGTAGTTGGTATTAATTAATTCATTAATCATTTGGTTGAATCTTTCTTACAGTACATGTCAAAGAAATTCATTAAATGTTAATTTTCAATTGTTTGTATTAAATAACTACCAATATTAAATTATAATTTTATTGAAGTTAGTGAAATTAATAAAATTTATTTAAATTTAAATTAAATTATAAATTCAATAAAATTGAGTATAAGAGCTAAATGATCCAAGCACGTTATACGGTGCAATAAAATATATTATTACAAACACAAATTCTCCATACGTTTCGGCTCACAACGGAATCATTTTTATGGATACATAACTTACATCAATACTATTATTATCTTCTACTATTACGTCGTTAGATATTGTATATAAAACCTGTCGCAACAATTAACATTAGCACGCTTTAGAGAAATCTTCTTAGATCAAAAAACCATTGTTCTGCCATTATGGTATTGGTGGTATTGGTTGTCCTTTTTTTTTTTAATAATGTCGCAAATTAAAATCATCAAACCGCATTCGGAATCGTAATTTCCATAAAAATTATATCAGGATAAATTATTATGCTATAATGGTGGTATTGACTGTAAAATTAGAAAACAAAAGAAAGGAATTAACACAATGTAAAGATTAAAAATTTATTGTTTTTACCTTAGAACATTGGAGACTCGACGGACTGAACAGGAAGATAGCTTACATGTCAACAGATTATTCGATACAAACGTAATGACATGAGAGGAACGGGAAAGACACGACAACGCTTCGTAACAAATGCGTAGAAGGAGGATTAAACTAATCAGATTAAGAAATCAATAAGTCACTTATTAGCTAATAAATCTATAAAAGGCAAATATGCTTCTGCAAGAAATTCTGTATCATTTTGCTTGTTCAATCTTTTTTTTGTTTAATTATATGGATCATCTCAGAAGTTAGTCTTTTATTATACTGCTTTTCGTTATCCAATATCTGAATCCTTTTCAGTAAAAATCGTGATTATTATTCTGTCATCCTGTGTAGAAATCACTGACGGTGAACCGTATTTCTTTCTTATGAACTGTGCTCATCGACACGTGTTTTCAGCTGTCTTTTATTTAATTTGGCCCACGTATGTAGCATCACAATCCTGACACGAGATCTTATAAATCACATCGCTATGAGCCATAACTTCTACTGAGTCTTTTCCAGTTTTAAAAAAATTTATTAATGTGTTTAGAATTGAAAAACCGGTCTTAATATTTTTTATTTTTTTATAATAGATGACAAATTCTCTGAAATGTTTTTTACTGGAAAATAAATCGTTTTTCTTTGATATTTCCATTGTTCAATTTGATTTTTACTCGTTTCTTTTTATTAGAAAATAGATATTTAAGTCTATTCCTAATTGTCGAGAAAATGAAAGCTAATAGATAACAATTCTCAATTAAAAGACTAATTGCCTCCATAAGATTTTTCTTATGGAAGGATAGATCTAAAAGGAAGATTGATCCATCATACCATAAATAACTCCTCTTTTATGTAATACTGAGTAGTGAGAGCAAAAATTCGAATCTGCCGGAAAACGTAGGTTTTATTTATATAAATCAAAAGACAGTTTGTTATCAACTGAAATGACAGTAACATCAAGGAAATTTAAACTATTGCTCTCACTTCCATTGTGAACCGTAATCTTCCGTGTAACGAATTAAAAGTTTTTAAAATATCAAGCAAATCCGCAGGCGCGGCCAAGAAAATGTCATCAACATATCGCAGATAAAATGACAGTTTTATTGGAATTAGATTCAGTGCTCTCAATTCCAAATTTTCCAACGCAAAGTTCGCAACAATTGGAGACAGTGGAGAGCCCATAGGCATACCATAAATCTGTTTACAAAAGATACTAACAAATTTGAAATAAATCGAATCCAATACTAGGCGTATAGTAAAAATAAGTTCCTCTTGAATGATGGAATAGTTTTTTAAAAATCATCTCCCATTTTTTCAAAATGCAGTCAATGGCTAAATCAGTGGGCACATTTGTAAAAAGTGACACCATATCCAAAGTAAAGTAAAATACATTTAAAATCAGGATTCAAACAGAAACTATTCAGCTGTTCTATTAACTGGAAACTATTCGCGACATAGCTAGCTGCTTTTGGAATGCTCTTTTTTATCACAGTGTGTAGAAAAAACGCCAAATAATACAATGGACTATTGATGGATGAGACTATTATGCGTAATGGATATCCAGATTTATGGATTTTCGTCAGCCCATAGGCTCTTGGTTCAGATGTGGTGGAACTAAACCTAGTATTGGATTCGACTTATTTCAAATTTGATCTTTTACAAATAGATTTATGATAGGTCCATGAGTTCTCCACTGTCTCCAATGTTATTGAGAACGTGGCGTTGAAAAATTTGGAATTGAGAGCACTGAATCTAATTCCAATAAAACTGCCATTTTAGCTGCGATATGTTGACGACATTTTCTTGTCCGCGCCTGCAAACTCGCTTGATGATATTTTAAGAGCTTTTAATTCGTTACACGGAAGATTACGGTTCACAATGGAGGTGAGAGCAATAGTTTATATTTCCTTAATGTTATTGCCATTTCAGTTGATAGCAAACTGTCTTTTGATTTATATAAAAAAAACCTATGTTTTCCGGCAGATTCGAATTTTTGCTCTCACCACCCAGTATCACATAAAAGAGGAGTTATTTATAGTATGGTGGATCAATCTTCCTTTCAGATTCATCCTTCCATAAGAAAAATCTTATGGAGGCAATTAGTCTTTTGATTGAGAATTTTTATCCATTAGCTTTCATTTTCTCGACAATTAGGAATAGACTTAAATATCTGTTTTCTAATAAAAAGAAACGAGTAAAAATCAAATTGAACAATGGAAATATTATCAAAGAAAACCGATTTATTTTCCAGTAAAGTACATTTCAGAGAATTTGTCATTTATTACAAAAAAATATAAAATATTAAGACCAGTTTTTCAATTCTAAACACATTAAAAGTTTTTTCAAAACTGGAAAAGACATAGAAGGCTCATAATGATGTATAAGATTTCATGTCAGGATTGTGATGCTACATATGTGGGGCAAATTAAAAGACAGCTGAAAATACGTGTCGATGAGCACAGTTCTGACATAAGAAAGAAATGCGGCTCACCGTCAGTGATTTCTACACAGGATTACAGAATAATAATCATGATTTTGACTGGAAAGGAGTTCAGATATTGGATAATGAAAAGTATAATAAAAAGCTAATTTCTGAGATGATCCATATAATTGAACAATAAAACGGATTGAACAAGCAAAATGATACAGAATTTCTTTCAGAAGCATATTTGCCTTTTATAGATTTATTAGCCAATAAGTGACATTATTGGTTTCTCGTTTTGATTGATTCAACCCCCCTTCTACATATTTGTTGCGAAACGTTGTCGTGTTTTTCCGTTCCTCTTATGTCATTACGTTTGTATCGAGTAACATGTAAGCTGTCTTCCTGTTTAGTCTGTCGATTCTCGAATGTTCTGAGGTAAAAACAATAAGTTTTTAATGTTTACATTGTGTTAATTCCTTCCTTTTTGTTTTCTAATCTTACAGCCAATATCACCATTATGGCATAATAATTTATCCTGATATAATTTTTATGGAAATTACGATTCCGTATGCGGTTTGACGATTTTAATTTGCGACATTATTAAAAAAAAGACAACCAGTACCACCAATACCACAATGGCAGAACAATCTTTTGATCTGTGAAGATTTCTTGCTAATGCGTGCTGATGTTGCGACAGGTTTTATATATTAGGTGTTGGAATTAATTCGTAGCGTTTTACAAGTGATGGGAAGTACTTTCATTAATGTATTTTTTAATGCTCATGTGAAATAAATAACATTCTTTCATTAAAAACGCTACGAATTAATTCCAACACCTAATATCTAACGACGTAAGAATGTAATAGACGTAAGAAGATAAGTGAAGAGGTGTTAATTAAATTATATTTTTCAAAATTGCTAGTGCTGGGCACAACAAATTGCCGTATGATATACATATATATTAATTATATACTTTTCTAAAGCGTCCCATTAAAATTGAGATTGACTGATAATTAAATTTGGCAATTACGACTTGAACTGGAATGTTTAATCTAAATACTTAAAAAAAGACATTACACATCGACCTAACGTCATTTATAATTGAATCGACAAATTCAAGTTAATTTTCAGACCCCCAGATAGCACAACTAATCCATTTGAACTCAAAAAGAATTCATTTTCTTAACTTCTTTATGAATTAGCGTAATTTGTTCAAAATGACAAAAAGAATTCCTTTTCGACGATTAACAAAAGACTCCATAAAAGTATTTCTACAGAATTAAATTGAAGTTAACTTAAAGAAATTCTTTTTTTATTCGTAATGGGTTCGAAAAAAAATTAATTTTTGACTCGATCACAATATATTTATATAAAATTATTCCCGCTGCAAGTTATGATTTGCCGCCACTGGAATTGTATCATGCTTGAATGATAGCTGCCAGTGTAGGTAATTATGACAGTGTAGGTAGTTTTTAGTTTTAGTAGAAATTAGTTTTTGCAATAGCATTTTGTATACATACATGTATATAAAAAAATACGTACAATATATATATATATATATATATATATGCATCCATAATATTATCTTATGCATACATAATCATACGTGTTTAAAAATAAAATTTAATTTGAAAAACAAATGAAGTTTAACTTATTTTTATACAAAATTAAAGCTGGATTGTTCCATCTTTCGTAAACTTCTTCTCATTGTCTTACTTTCTTACTCTCTTATGTTTTACTCTTTTGTTTATTCAATAAGTAAATTACCACATAGTTTATCTATAGATGGAACAACCGGCTCTCAGAAATATAAATTAATAAAAATATGTACTATGGCAAAAAATATGACAATATAAAAAAACATATAATATATATGCTTT